GGTTGCCGACCCCTGGTCTAATTGAATCGAATTTGATGATCATATGACCATAAACTCAATTATCGCTTTATTAGGTGCATCTGTTCGATTGCTCTTTAACATAAATATCTAATTAGTCAATCATATGGCAGCCACATCCTACCCGAAGACAAAAACACACACTTCTTGGCCACATCAATAGGTATACCTGTTCATTTGCTGGTTACTGCAAATCACATGTGATCAAATCAATGCATTTAGGCATGTAGATATGGACTTTCTGAAATACAAGGTTCAAGCATCAGAATGGGGGAAGAAAAATGTAATTTAGGTTACTTTGAATGTGGCATGGTTGTTGTGACAGATGGGCTGCTCTATGTATTTCAGAAACTACTGATCTGCTGGGATTTTCCCACACAACCAGCTTTCGGCTTTAACAGAGAATGGTGTGAAAAAGAGAAAATGTCCAGAGAGGAGGAGGGCCAGAGGTCAGAGGAGAATGGCCAGGTTGCTTCAAGGTGATAGGAAGACAAGTTGGTGTGTTACAGCCAAGGTATACAGAAGAGCATCTCTGAGCACAAAGCCAGCTGATCCTTGAAAGAGAAAATCACACCTGGTGCCATTCCCATCAGGTGAAAACAGGAAACTCAGGCTACCATTCACACAGGATCACCAAAATCTTTACAACAATTCAGACTGGTGGGGGTGTATTGATGTGGGAGATATTTTCTTTTCATGTTGGGCCCCATAGTACTGTCTGTAGGATAGTTCCAGCTGAGCATTGTTTAAATGCCACAGCCTACATGAAGAAAAAACATACGCACTTGCCAGCCACATCATTAGGCATACCTGTTCAACTGCAGATTAATGCAAATCACAAGGCATCAAATCACATGGGAACAAATCAGTGCACTTGGGCACACGGATATGGCCAAGAAGGCCAACTGAAGTTCAAACTGAACATCAGACTGCAGCTGCAAACTAATGTGTGTGCCACTCCTGTGGGTTAAGAAACTAAGACTACAAGTTGTACTGGCTCACAAACGTTTGATAACAGAAGACTGGATAAATATTGCCTTGTCTCAAAAGTCTAGATTTCTGCTGTGACATTCTGATGATAGGGGCAGAATTTGGCATCATATGACCTCAAAGCATGGGCCCATCTTGCCTTTTATCAGTGGTTTAGGCTGGTGGTGGTAGGGGACAACTACTTCTTTTCTTGCCGCTCTTTGGGCGCCATAGCACCAACTGACACCACAGCCACATTATTGCTGTTAACCATGCTCATCCTGTTGTGAGCACAGTCTACACATCTAATGATGTCAAACTGGTTTCTTGAACACGACATTGAGTTCTTTGTATTCATCTGGCTGACACAATCACCGGATCTCAATCCGGAGTTGAGAAAGTTGGGATGTGGTGGAATGGGAGATTGGCATCATGGATGTGCAGAAGAAGGTTGTGGCGAAGAAGGTTTAACTCGCCACAACGAGTTAAACCTTCATCGGGCAATGAACTTGCAACATAACAATGAAAAGAACTTCATATTTTCCAGTAACAGTCTGTTGTTGAAATTTTGAATTTCCAAGTGCCAGTATGAAGGGCTAACCTGACTCCATAGGTTTGGAATCACTGTATCAATATTAGCCTTATTGCCTTATTGACATTTTGCACACCATGACCCCTCATCCAACTCACAGTCAAAATCAAACTTAATTTTAATATCAGTTTCCTTCCTTTATCCCTTCTTTCCTTCCTTCTGGCCAGCAAGCCTTATCCGTGGCGCACTAACAAAGGGGAAAAAAAAACCCTCGCTGGCCCCGCCCCCTTTAAAAACGCAAAAAAAAAAAAAAAAAAAAAAAAAAGGGGGGGGGGGGGGGGGGGTGGAAAAGGCCAGCAACAATGTGATAGACAACACAGCCGCTCTGCTCTCTCAGCGTAGTAGTGGATATCTTCACAGTGACCAGAGAGCAGAGGCGAGCCAAAGCGAGCCGCATGCTCGCTGTGCAACAAGGGGGACGGGAGCAAAATGAACCACCGGAAAGCCGCAGCAGCAGCATCCATTGAGGACCCGTAACAGTATTTGGGTAAGGCTTTGTTTGCTCTCCCTAGGATTTCGATACAGTTCTGCATTTTCTGATTACGAGCGCTTTGTGCACGAACGCGGAGCGGAACAAGGGGAGGATGTGTTCGCACGATGTTTGCTCAAAGCGCTGCAATACCGAGAATTGGAAGAAAAAAAAAACCTAAATAAATAGAAAAAACCTGCGGATGAGAATGTAGCCGACAGCGCTTTGTCTTCGTTACTTCTCCGGAGCAGCATAACCATCACAGGAAGCTCATTTTAACAGCGGCTCATTTTTATTAGTATCTGCGCTTCTGTGTTTGGTTAGATTGTTAAATAAAAACAGAGGCATTGTTGACACAGGCAGAGTTCACCGTTTCTGACGCGCTCCTATTACCCGGCGCTGTTTAGTGTTTTTCTTTTTTTCTGCTTCGCCCCACAATGGATTGATTTCATTCACAGCTCACTGTGAAGCCAGGCCCCCACTCCGCTCTACAACTTGGGAAGAACATGCGGAGGTTTCTCGCTGCCTTAGCGCTCAGTTATTGATGCACATGCTGGAGCAGCTCCACACAAAACAGCAAACCAAGGCCAACTAAGGAGCTCCAGGTTAAGACAACTGGAAGGAAAAATAATAATTTATTCAATTAAATTAAAAACAGTTGTATAGTATTACATTAATAGCGCTTATTTGACGCAAACAAAAATCAGTGTCACTTTAGTTAAGGTGGAAATAACCTGCTTTGTATACCAAAAGTTACATTTAGCAGTCATGATTTGGTGCTCACGTGCTCCTTATTGAAATGTCTTTTTCCTTTATAAACACCGCTGCTTCCCCTCAGTTCACTTCACTTCAATTCAGTTTTATTTATGTAGCGCCAAAACACAACAACAGTTGCTTCAAGGTTCGTTATTGTAAGGTAAAGAGCTTACAATAAAACAAAAAGAATTCCCATTAATCAGACAACCACCTATGAGGAAGCACTTGGGGAAAGTGGGGAGGAAGAACTCCCTTGTAACAGGAAGAAACCGCAGAACAGGCTCAGGGAGGGGGGAGACATCTGCCAAGACCGACCGGGGGTGATGGGAGGAAAAGAGGACAGAACACACACTGTTGAAGAGAGCCAGAGATGAATAATGACTAATGATTAAATGCAAGTGGTGTTTAAACACATTGTGACACAGTTATAGCCATTTGTTTTTAAAATTAGAAGCTAACCTATTCTACTTTACATAGCCATTCACTCACAGACTAACACCAGGTGATTGAAAGCAGTGAAAACAACAACAGGACCAACAACACACAGACACACACTGGTGTCAAGAGCAATTAGTGCGGAGGGTTTGGAACGTGATGCCTTTTGAAGTAGTGCGAGTTGTCTTTATATCAGCAACAGGAAATTTTATCACTGAGCTGTCGCCACTTTTAGCTGAATGTCACCGTAACACATTAAACCTGCCAAAGAAACGCACACAGCCTTCAAGAACCGCGGCGGAGTTTGGGAGTCGACTGAAACTCATTACAGTGAGAACACGCGCACACACACAACCTCGCTGTTCTCCGTAGTCCGCCGGAATCAAAGGCACCGGTCTGTTCTTTTGTATTTTCCTTCTCTGTGCATCATAAACAGCTCAGGGAAGGAAATTCAAAGCTCCTCTCCAGGTTATAGTGACATTGCATCAGAAAAGTATTATTACGTGTGCGCGTGTGTAGAGCTGCTGAATATTTATGTGCGCTGTGGTTTTCAAGGCTTCATGGAGTTTACAAGGACAAAAGTTGAATGTAATGGTCACTGTTTAAACTGTAGAGGTAAAGTTATTTTTGTTAAATTATTCATTTATATGTGATAAAATAAACCAGAGCAAAAACGCAGGATCGCTTTGTGTTCTACTTCTCAAACCATAGATGTTCTTACCCCCTCTCACAGTGCATTATAAATGTGCAAATGAATGCTTGATACACACAGATTTACACCCACGCTGTGTGAAAGCGTTGTGACTGTCACACAACTTCTGTATTACTGCTATTACACACAACTAGCTAATCGCATCCACGCGTTGGCTGGCACCTCTTTGTGTCTGCAGCTGGATGTTTATTGTCTCCAATGGGGCTCCCTCCCTCTGTGTGTGCAGACAAGGCAAAGGTGTTAAGGAGAGCTCCTTTCTTTGCACACACTAACACTAATACACCACATTTACTCCACCACAGCAAATACGTACACACAGAGTCTTTATTTCTTTATCGAACTGATAGATATTGACCAGCATGTAGTTCTTTGACACGCTGAGTGCAGCTCAAAGTCGTCATTGGAAAAATGTGTGTAAATACAAATCAGCAAGTCGCTGAAACTGCAACATTGTAAGAATGTGGGTCAGTATCGTGTGTTCACAATTCTCACAATCTCTTTCCTTTTCAACCTTTCTGGTCATGTGACCCAAAGTTGCATTCTGCCATGAAGGTAGTAAACATGTAAAATGGTAAGGGTGTAGAGGTTCTGTAAAACTAGTGAGAATTTACACTGCAAAGAAACACATTAGGTTGGAAGGAAGGTTTGGAGGTTAATTACACACACACACACACACATATGTAAAAGGGAGGGCGTGTTGTGTGAGTGTGTGCATTCATGAATATGGCTCTAAAAATACTAGGAGGTGAAAAAAATGCTAACAGATGAAATGCATAATTGAAGTCGGCTATGACCCAGTAACAGTGTTGGAGTCAAAGACTGACTGTTCTTATTAGCATCAGATGAGAGGACGTCTGAGAGGGGAAGTGATTCATACCAGCTTTAGTCTGGATTAGGCTGTAAAGAGATAGATAGATATGCAGCAGTCGATCTGTTCACGAGCTGGGCTGTGAAGTGGATATTGCACCGCTGCAGCCTCGAAGGTGCTCGGAATAGTTGCATTGATTAAAGTATAAGATGGTACTGCTGATATTGAGGTTTTCAGAATGCTTTTTTCTTTTCAAAACCAGTTCATATTGATTTAATTTTTTAATTGCATTAAGCCTGCAGTAGCATGTTTTTCATCACCAGAGGGCAGTGCTATGAACAAAGTTCAACAGAGTCAGGTTTCTTTGCGTTAGCTGGCTCGACAACACCCAAAGCCTGAGTTGGAGGTAGTGGGCATCATGACAGTGTTTATCAGTTTTTTTCTGTCAAGTTGGGCTTTCTGCCTCAAGCTCTGCACACTCACATCAAAATGGGCATTTTTGTAGGTAATGTGACTCTTCTTCCACCAAAATATGATCCCTGTGTGTGCCACCTAGTCTAGCCAGAGACGTTATCAGATGGTGATAATAAATAGTGATTAAAATTCTCCAAAGAACAGAAAAAGTATCCGAGTAAAATGCAACACACTTGCAAGACAAAATTAATGCTGCAGAAAATTAATAATCTGGTGATTTAACGCGCAGAACGGTAAAATAAATATTTTAATTCAAGTTATGATGAGTGCACTTTCTGCGCTCAGGTTTTTTTCCAAGGTAACGGCTGCAGATTAGAAGCCCTGAAACTTTAAACTGGATTTATTGAACACTAAAGGTTTATTGTCCCAATAAATGAGATCGCTGAAAGCGGTTTAGTTTGTTGGCAGATTAACTCAAATTAATGTTACTGAGTAAACAGGTGTTTCACATATAAAACACATTTTCCCAGCAGAGATTTTAAAAGATTAGCACTTTAAACGTGCTGTAAATGATAGATTTAAATCAGATTTTAGATTTTAAACCAAAACTCTAAAACTGTCCTCAGGTTATATGCTTAACATATAACCTGTTACCATGGGGATTTAGGGTACTTTAAGCTCAAAGAAGCTCACTAAGCCATTAATCTCGCTGAGCAGCACATGCCCCAAGTGAAAACAAGTAACCCAAACTTTTTAACTTGACATGCCAGCCTTTGTATGTATCCTTAATTTGCACTTGTGTTTCTATCTAGCTGTTAGATTTATCACAGTTTTTCAACAATGAAAGGAAGAAGTTAAGTTAAGCAACTAGTAACTGTCAGAAAAGTTTCGAAACTTGTTTGCTTTCACAGAATCTTTTAATGTGGGCTCAAAAATTGCAGCACGTAAGAAATGTTAGGCTAATTTGTTTGTTTCATGTCTATGATAGAAAAAAAACAAAAGGCAAGGGAAGTTTAAAAAAACCAAATATCAGTATCCGTCCTAAAAACAAAATCCGGCATTGTTTGAGCTCTACTAGTGAATCTCTTGATGCATGCTTAATCATCCAGGTAAGTAAATGCTGAAAATTCTACGTCCAGATGAACAGAATCAACCTGGTGAATGTTTCAATGCTTTCATCTGTGTGTGTACTAGACTGTAAAACAACCTTTGTAAGACTCATGTCACACAACGTGAGATCAGATTGTGTGATTAAAGAACAGCGTAAAGCTGATGAATATGAGGGCAGAGACAAATCATCTGCTTGCATCATCTGGTTTGTGCTGCTCTTATCTGTGGAAATTACAGTATCACATAAAAGTGCGCAAAACGTGTTTTGAAATATATATTTTTTCTTTTATGTTGCTTTCTGTTGCTTTTGCATGTGATGGTCCACTTATGGAGTCACCTCGAAGGGGAATCGGCATGATTTTATGTTTTTGGTTTGGTTTTTTTGGATGTTGGTGGGAGCGTGAGTCACACAGTCAGAACCTGGTTATAAATTAGTGAAGGTGTGAATTTCGCCACAGGGCAGCTGTCTTTGATTGGTGCGTTTGAGAGACAGCCACAGATTTTTGCCACCTTTCCCAAAGGTGTCCAAAATCAAACAGTGTAAAGAGGCCTTTAGTCTGTGATTGTGTCCATCTGCTGTGTGGTGTTCAATAGGTTTTCGAGGGTGACTTTTGAAAGCTTTTTTTTCTTCTTCTTCTTGTGAGTAAAAGCAACCACACAGTAATGTCACAGGCCGAAAAGCCCTGCAAAGCTGAGGGGAGCTGCAGAGTCAGGTAATAATTCTCCAAGTTTTGCTTTGAGTCGATACCCGAGCTCCTTTGTAATTGTTCCTAACATACTTGC